ACATAAGTTAATTAGTAAGTTTTTGAGTTATAAGCCAAGTCTTTAGATGTGGAAATATTTTTGTCACCCACCTGTAAAAAAAAAACTTATTAATTTTTAAGTAAGCTGAAATTCCTGTAATCTTTATAGTCTTTACTTTATTGTACACGATTCTGTTCATTGGTTTCTAGATGGGTTCATTGGTTTGATATATATTATTTAAATAGGAAATTAAATTTGACAGATATTTTTAGGGTGAAATTGTTATTTATAACCAATCATCATGTGATAATTTGCAGATCTGAGGATTTAAAAAAAGGTCCAATTTTATAAATTCATGTATATGCAAGTTAAGGCTGAATATAGAACTAAAGGCAAGAATAGTTGGGTTTTAAAAGCTTGGCTAACAAGACTATTCTCAGATAACAAGTCTAAAGAATAATAGTTATGAATATAATAACAGACCAAAAGAACTCAGAACTAGTAATTGCAAAGGTAGTTTTAAGAACTTTTAAGAAAATATTAATAGAACATTAGAAGATACCTGATAAACACAATACTGATAACCTTATGTTAAAAAAATGTACTAGCTGTATACTAAACCAGAACAAGACATTTAAAGAATATAAGAAACTTTATTATAAAAAGGAAATTCAAAGATCTTTTTCGACCTTTATTAAGAAAAGAGAAAATAGATAGAGACTAGAAATTCTATTAGATACAATTGAGCTTTATCATAGTAAAAAAAATGAGAATTACAAAAGAAGAATCTCAAGTTATAAGTATTTTAAGTTACAATTTGGATACAGAGATGATTCAAAAACAAGATTTTTCATCTAAATTAAAAGACAATCTAGTAGAGTGGAATCAGAACAACCTCTTATAAAGAAAGCTGGTCTTTTATATAGATAGATCATTATACCTAACCAAGAACAAATAAGAAGACTCTGATCACATAAAAATAGGGTTTTTGCAAACAGATTAGAACGAGCAAAAAGTAATCAAAGAAGGTTTTGCAGAGACTTTAAATTAGCCATCATTGACTAAACTATAATTGTTAGCAATTTGGCTAGTATTACTAATAATACCAAGTAGAAGAGAAGTTAAAATATATATGAATAGTGCAGTAGTGATTGCAAGTATAGAAAAAGAAAAGAATATCATAACAACCAAACAATAGTTAAAGCTTAAAATTATAATTTAATATGTAGTATTGTAGAATTAGTTAAAGTAAAAAAGATTCAATTAGAATTAGTTAAAGTAAAAGGTTATAGTAATAATAGATAGAATGAGAGAGCAGATAGTTTAGCTAAAAAAGATGCTATATTAGATAATTTAGATAGTATCATTTTTAACCCACTTAAATCTAATATTTCACTATTTTGGGACAAGATATTTATCAAACATCTAGCAAGAGAAATAACCAAGACTTTACTCAACTTCAAGATAAATGCGAACTAGAAAGAATTGAAAGCAATTCAAAAAGTTGAACTAGAAAAAGTCTACAAGAAAAATAACTAGACTTATTATAAAAAAGAGTTAAGAAGAACAATAGTATTAGATGCATAACAATAAAAAAAGGCAGACACCTCAGAACTTTATTCAAGTGTGCTAATAAGATGCTTCTAGTACTTTAAACTCTATCACGAAGATATCCAGATTTGTATCAAGATTCAAACTGTATTGTTTGTAAAAAGAGGATAGAAAAAGATCAGGATCACCTAGCAAGCTGTAAAGAACAAGAAACTAATTGAAAAATTGCTGAAGACCTTGTAGCAAATTTAGCTTAGATAGCTCTACCAGAAGAGACCAAAAGAAAACTGACAAGAAATTTTTAGAAAGAACACTTTGAGAAGAATCAAAAGAAAAATCTTTCAAAACAAGATCCAAGGCAATTAAAGGTCTAGTTCAAAAAGATATGATAAAAAAGATGCAAGAGTTCTTATAGTTAAGTAAAGAAGCCAAGATATATATTAAGCTCACTTTAGATACAATATAGAATTGTTTTCATAAAAATATTTGAAAGAGAAGATGCGAATTTCTTCGCAAATAGAAAATTTGCAAAGATATTTTAACCAAAGATAAAAAACGAAGAAGCAAACTATCAACAGAAGAAGAAAGAGTAAAATCAGAATCTAATAAAACAAGATCCAAAGAAGAAGGTTCAAAGCAAATTAGTAGTTTAGATAAAATAGATAGAAAGCAAAAAAAGAAAAAAAAAGAGAAGAGTTTAAAGAATATAAAAAATCGTTAGTTTAATAGTTTTAGAGATTTAATTCAAAATAGCTGTAAGCTTTTTGATACAGCTTGCATAGCTAACCTGATATTAGCCTTCTGGCCTTGAAAATTTTTTTTTAGACTAGTGCGGCAGACCACTTTTGGGTACTTATGAAGTAGCCAAGCCTAAAGATTAAACTCAATATTATGTAATATATTTATATAATAATCTTAATAAAGAATCACTGGCAAGATTGCCAAAGTTTTAAAAAAAATAAAAAAATAAAAAAAACAATAGTACAGAATAATAATACAAGATAATAATACAAGATATGAACTTTTTTTAATATAATCAGAATTTAAAAAAATTTTTATAAATATAATCAAATTAAATACTTTTTTTTAAATTTCTCTTCTCTAAGTTTTCTTTTTTCAAATTTCATTAGATTATTTTTTAAAAAAAAATTATTTTTTACTATAGCTAAAATAAAAAAAACTTGACAAACAATCTAATTTTTTCAATTGGCAACTACTACCACTTTTTAACCCAACTATTCACAACTTCTTTGACCCAAATATCTACAACTTCTTTGACCCAAATATTTACAACTTCTTCAACTCAAATAGAGGTCTGATCCAATGAATAATATATTCGAATATTCGAATAAGTATTTTTTCACCAAATTGAATATTCGAATATTTAATTTTTTCACTAAATATTTAATAAATATTCAATGAATATATATAATTAAAAATTTTTAATTGATCAATTAAAATAAAGAATTAGATTTAATAGTCTTAGTATATTTAATTTATTTTTATTAAATTAGTTTATAAATATAAAAAATTTTAGTAATTCATTTATAAATATATATTTATTATTATAATATATTTGTTTAATTTTATATTAATTTATTATTTATAAGATTAAACTTATTTATTAGAATTCTTATAAAATAAAATATAAACTTATAATATTTTTTAAAATATTTATTTTTTAATAATTGATATTTAAATAATACTAATAAATTGGAAATTATTTAAATTTAACCTCTGGTAAAATTCACTGTGATTATGTAATAGGATAGATTAGTACGTGAGATACTCTAATCTATACTACGTAATATATAGTTACACAATTATACATTATGCCATATTAACAATATTACAGTAAAATAGTTTTAAAAGAAGTATCACTTATTGCTATACAATTTCATTGCATGTTACTTTCAAAAGAAGAGGCAGAAACTGACTTCTTTGAACTCTAGTAATAATCAACTTGAATCAAAGATAGGAAGCATACTATTGAACGTATTTTGCAAGATCAACATACTGAATTTTTTTAAAGTTGGTTTGAAGGGAGGAAATGTATTAGCTGACACATTTGTAAGAATACTCTATAGACTTCTTTGAAGGATCATCTTGACCAAAGAAAAGAAGCACTTTAGTAAGTATATTTATAAGTGCTTAGATTTAAGAATTATGCTGAGAATAGTATTCATTGTTAAAACAATAAAAAATTTATAAAACGAGTCTAGGCACATTGGAACCTTGAAAGCTTTAATTATCAACTTCTTACTAATGAACTAAAACATTAGTATCTTTTTTTTATTTTTTTTAGTTATTTTGTAAGAATAATGTATGCGTTATCATATACTCTACCTGAAGATATTTCTAAAGTTTGTTTTATTACCAATGTACAGTCATTCTTGGCTTATGAGAAAGGTATAAATAATACTACTAGCGATGCTATAAACATAAGTGATGCCACGAATATGAATGATGATAATAATGATGCTATGAATGATACTGTGAGTGATGCTGTTAGCGATTCGATGAACGATACCGTGAACAATTCGATAAACGATACCGTGAGCGATTTGATGAACAATGCTATGATGAATGATGCTATGGTACTTGTATAGAAACTGTTACAAAGGGTATAATTTGCTAGCATTTCTGGTATGTTATACTATATTCACATTTTGCAAGATTTCATATAAGTATTATATCTGCCAGGTAGTATAAGGATAGTATTCATACTAAATTAGATTTTAATATTAAAAATTCTCCCGTACTTACTGCATTAGAATCACCCTTCAACTGTTCTTTTCAAGTAATCTTTAATTTTTAAAGTATACAAAATTTCAATAATTCTGATTGTAATAAAGTAGATCGCAAATATATCTCACAAAGAAATCGATATGAAATTGCATTTTCAATAGCCAAAACTGCTATTAATGTTGCTTTAGAAACTAATAAAGATGCAGAATTGGTTTGACTACTAAAAGATTTTATTGCAATGAATCAAAAGAAGCATGAAGGTGATGTGGATTAACCTAAAGAGAATGTTAGTACAGAAAATTACAACTCTAAAGAGAATTAGGATACTGAAGAAATAATTCTATTACAAGAGCATTTAATTGATTAGATAACTAGTTCTAACGTTATTAAACTTCGTGATGCTTCTCGCAAAAAAAGAATTAAAGCTGTTACAAAATTATCAAAAGGAAAAGCATTAAATGAAGTCATGAATATTGTTCAAGAAGCTGATCATAGTGAAACAAGCTCAAGACAACAATGCAGGTGCTTATTATGTAAAAAACCCGGATATTATTAAAAGAAATATCTATTTGTTAATATAGTTGGTAAAAAAAATAAGTAATATAATGCATTGTATAATTGCATATTAATTGATAATATAATATCACATATAATTGCTTATTTATTGATATTTTTAATAGAGATTAAGCATCATTATAATTTGCTTTAATGTTTAGGATAAGGGTATCAATTTATAAAAATGTTTTGCCTAATATTAGGATAAGGATATTAATTTATATAAGTGATTCACCTAATATTAGGGTAATAGATCAATTTATAAAAGTATTTTGCCTGGTATTTAGTATAATTGAGTGAAACAGAGGTGACAGCCAAAGCATAGCATTAACTATCTTTAATTTATTTGCAATTATTAATATTAGAGTATGAGTATCAATTCATATAAAAGTAGTTCGCCTAATACTTAGAGTAATAGATCAATTTATAAAAGTATTTTGTTTGGTGTTTAGTATAATTGAGTGAAGTGGAGGCGACAGCTGAAGCATAGCATTAACTATCTTTAATTTATTAGCAGCTATTAAAGTTGAATGTTGCAAAGTAAGCAGTTTTATTATAACTGCTATAAGATTTATAGATTATATAGTTTAATAAAGTTTTGGAGACTATATTCGTTAAAACAAAGCTTATATTTAGGCTTTCATACTTTTGTGTACTTGTATATACTTATCTTGTTAACTCTGGAGATTAACTCTTCTGCTTGAGCATATTGGTATGATGAATTGTTTGTATGACAAATAATCACTAATATAATATATAACTAATATTTATTTATTGTATATCTTATACGTCACCCCAAGATTCATCATATCTTATACTAATTAGAATTTATAGTTATGTCATGTATATAATATAATATAATACTGTATATCACATGATCCGGTGAAATTCACCTCCGATGAGTATTAAAATTTTCTAATAAATCATATTTTTATATATATTTAAAGGGAATATTATTATAGTGCTATAGTACTGTAGTATTATCCTATATGTAAATACAAAATTGATATAATATGTAAATCAAAACAATCTAATCTTTACAAAAAATAAAATTTTTAATTAGGTTTAGATTAAAGCTGGGGTTAAGCTTAGAAAAAGCATAGGTTATACTAAAATTTTGCAAGAAATTTTTTTTATTAGAACACAAAAGATAGTTTTTTAAATAAAATTTTGAGATATAATTAATTTTTTAAAAATTTATTATTTTTGTTACACAAAGAGTGATCTGCATATTATACCTGATCTTAAATTTTAATCGATCACAATACCCTAGCACCATAGTACTATAGCACTATAAAATAAATCCTATATTTAAAAATTAAAATTGTTTTAGACTTTTAATTTTTATATATTAGTTAGATATTTAATTCTAATATTAATAAAATATAAAATAATTTTATATTATAATATAATATTCATTGAATATTCAATAAATATTTGAATATTTATTTGAAATTTTCAATGAATATTTAAATATTAAAAAGATTGAACAAATGAATATTTGAATACAAATTTTTTAACTAGATTAGATCTCTAAACTGAAATATCTACAACTCTTTTGAATTAATCATCTACAATTCCTTCAATTCAAATATCTATAACAACTTCTTCAACCCAATTATTTATTATACCTTCAACTCAACTATCTATTATATTACTATCTATTACTTTTTTGATCTAACTATCTATTACTCTTCTAACCCAACTATCTATTATTCCTTTAATCTAACTATCTACTATTTTGACCCAACTATCTACTATTTTAATTAAACAATCTACCACTTTGATTAGGGTAGTGACATATATTACGTAATATTATTTTACTATAGAGGTACCCTCACATAAGTCAATTCTGATTGGCTAATTTAAAAAAATTTATAATAAATTATATAATTATAATATTATTCTATATAATAGTTTAAACTTGAATAACTTTTGATCTACTGAACCAATCTGGATGATTTAACTACCAAAATGATCCTTTCAAAGAGAAGATTTGAATGAATCTAAAATCATCCAATTCTGATTATATGATCTGAGATCGATAGAGTTTTGTATTATATTTACTATAATAAATATAATACAAAACTCTATCGACCTCAGGATCATGTGATCAGAATTGGACGATTTTGGATTCATTTGAATCCTCTCTTTGAGAGGATCATTTTGGTAGTTAAATCATCCAGATTGGTTTAGTGAATCAAAAGTTATTTAATTTTAAAATTTTATTATATATATAATAAATGATTATATATATATTATTTATATATATAATATATAAGTGTAATATAAGACTTTTGGCTAACCCCCTCCCCCCCAAAATATTACATAATATCTGTTACTGCCCTTACTGCTTTGACTAAATAATCTATTACTTTGACTAAACAATCCACTGCTTTAACTAGACAATCTGCTACTTTGACTAGATAATCTATTACTTCAATTAAACATCCTATTACTTTGATTACTGCTTCAACTAGACAATTTATTATATCAACTAAACTATCTATTATTTTAACTAATACTTTGAACCAACAATTCACCACTTTGATCACAACTTCATTATGATTATTAACTATCTCTTTGACCCAGCTAGCAGTTATTATTTTATTCTAAAAAGCTACTATCTTTTTTTGTTTACTTTGTTTATCTCATTCACTGTTAAGAACTATAAGAAGCAAAGCCAAAGTAAAAATAGTAAATGAATAGAATCTTTTGCTGATTTTGATTTAACAGAAAAAAGTAGAAAACTAAAAAATAATAAATTTTATTTATTATAAAAAAACAAGTATTTGAATATACTAATTTATAACTAATATTTATATTCTATTTACTAATTTTTATTTTTTTTATTTAAATAGTGGCTGAATATATACCAATATTATAATTATTTTTTTTTCTTATTTGAATAACAACTGAAATATACTGATTTATTATTTTTATTATTATTATTTTTTTAAAAAAATAGTGATTAAATTTATACTAATTTGTAACTAATTTATTTTATTTATTTTATTTTATTTTTTTCATTTTAGCAGATTATACTAGTAATATATATTTATTTAAGCCTATAAAAGGTAAACAATATCTGATAATAAAATTATTGCTCTGATATTCTACAGCTACTTTCAATTTAATTAATTATTAAAAGAGTATTTACATATAATTTGGCTATATAATAGAGTATAATCAATTAAAATAATACCTAACTAAAGATCACCACTCTACAATAGAATATTACTGATCTGAAAATACTTCTCGTATAAAAATGAAAGAAAAAAAAATTTATATATAAAAAAAAATACAGAGATATAGAGAATATGATAAAATATAAAAAAATATATAATCAACTCTTTTTGATAATCTTTTGGTTAACAACAAAATAAACTAAACTATAGTTTAAATTACAAAAAAGTGATAAAGTATATACTATGATACTCTTGTTGTATATTGACAAACTTGCTATTAATGAAGCTTATATACATGAAATACTGAGAAGCAGGCATATAACAAAAAGCAGGTCTAATATCTTGAGTTAAGTTTCTTTCTTACAAACTGTTATTAATGAAGTTTTTAAACATAATATATTGAGATACAAATATTGTAAATAGTTTGTACAGAGGTCAAGCCTTAGCATCTTAGAGTAAACTTCTTTGTATATTCAGTATCTAAACTAGAGAAGTCTTTAGAAATAGCAAAAAGAAAAGAAATAAACTTTTTCATACCTTTGATATTTAAAGCAAAAGGATATTTTGAAAGCAATATCATTGTGGGTCTCTTTATAAGAATATCAAATAGAAACAAAAAACTGAACTATATAACTATAACTCTTATAAGAAAAACCTCATATGCTCTTATTAGCCCACCATTTTTTTCAAAAAAATTTTTATAAAAAGTAGAAGTTTTAGTTTACTTTCTCCAAAAGATTGATATTATATACACTAAAACAGTATCGTTGTTTATTTTTTAAATCAGTACAACAGAATAACAAATATATCAAGATATGTATCATACAATTATTTAATCAAACAATATTCTATGATTTAAATCAAGTACTAATCCCTATATTCTATAGTTAAAAAAGTATTTTTTTATCTGTTTTAAGCTTTCATATACTGATTTATTATTTTTATTATTATTATTTTTTTAAAAAAATAGTGATTAAATTTATACTAATTTGTAACTAA